TGAACTTGTCCTGGATTGGAATTTTTCCGATCATTCCCCTAGGAGGAGTTCGCAAGAATGTGCTTAAAATGCATGAAAAACACACATTTTTCAAAATGGCCGACATATTACAAATGAGTAATATGTCCGCAATTCCATGAGGAATGTCTGTGCCTAAATTCGTGAAGTTCTGAGAAACGATATGTGACTACCACACAATAGGGGGCGCTACTGAGCTGTTTTAACAAAAAAATAAGTTTGTTTTTTATATTCTCGAAAAGGTCGTGGGCTTTGACGTGTGTCCCAAGTTTTGCGCTCCGAAGCATATTTTAGCACATTGTCATAAAAAAAAAAGTACAGGCCACGCCCACATTTGTCATTCGTTGCGACACTTTAAATATAAGTTCATACTCACCCCCAGAGTATGTCTAAAAAATTTAAAATGTATTTCGTCCATCAGTTCTTGAGTTATACATTTGTCATGTTTTTGGCGCCCCCTGTAGTCCAAAATGAAAATTACTTTTTGTGCCTATTCTCCAATGCAGATTGAACCTTACCACCAACATGTTTGTTTTTTTTATACATTGTTGATGAGTTATGAGCATTTATATCTAAGCCCCGCCTTTTTGCGAACACACAGGCTGCTGTACAAATAAAAACCACTCTCACTGACATAACACCTCACTGAGTGATTTAACTCATATGTCTAGCTTGCAGGTTTTTCTTCAGGAATATTAGTTGATCAATATGATCAGGATGAAGCAAGCTTTGCTGTCACGATGTCACCGGCTGTACTAAACACTCGTTCAGAGGGTACGCTTGTTGCAGGGATGGACAGTCATTATTTCACCACTCCATGAGAAAACATCCAAATAGCAACTCACCTGCAGCCTCACTCCAACAACCAAACCAAACATTTCCCTCTCATTTTAAACCCTGGGTCACGCCCCCTTTGGTGAGCAGCTCACCTGATCTAGTGGGAGGAGCCACGCCCCCCTTCTTCTTCAATGGGTTATGATAAATTTATATTTACAGAAATATGGTTTCTGGAGCTGAAAGTATGTTGAATTATACATATTTACGAATTGATCAAAACATGAATAGAAAAATGTTTTTAAAAATCTAATGTCATGTTTTTTTAAATAGCCTCTTGTAGTTGTATAAAAAAGCGTACAGGAAGTCGGTCATTTTGAATTTCGCCCTCCTTACTTCAGAGATCTTCTCCTAGGGATTTGATCCTATCGACTCCAAATTCGGAGGGTAGCGTCTCAAGACATGGAGGCTGAAAAATCATAATTTTTTACCGCACAGTGTAGTCGTTATGCGGCGCCCATTTTCACGTTCGCTCGATGCTAGGAGATCCCTCGCCATGGAACACGATGATGTCATAACTCCAACTGACGATCGTCCACCAAACTTTGGTTGTATATCACCGGTCCATTCCTCAACAGCTCTACCAAGTGCCAAATCTCAGGTCTCATCATATGCCATTATCCCTCGCCATAAAACACGATATTGTCGCAACTCAAAGGAAAATCGTCCAGGCGGCACCAGACTTTAGATGATGGTTAATGGTCCGGACCTCAACATGTCTGTGCCACTTGTGAGTTTTCCTCAAAAGCCGTTGCCATGTCAACGCATCCCTCCCCGCTAAACACGATATTGCTATAAGTTCACGTGTGCTAACAGCCCAGCCCTTAAGACAGATATATTTAATTTGTGAGATTTCGTCAAATGCCGTTACCAAGGCAACACAATGCTCACCATGAAACACGGTTTTCTCATAACTCCAGTGAACATGCTCCAAACGGCCCAAAACTTCACATGTTCGATAACGATGCAGACCTCAAGTCATCAAAGCCTATTATGAGGTGTCATCATATACCGTTGCCATGGCGACAGATCACTCGCCATGAAACACGGTTTTCTCATAACTCCAGTGAACATGCTCCAAACTGCTCAAAACTTCACATGTTTGATGATTATGCAGCCCTCAAGACATCTAAGCCTATTATGGGTTGTCCTCAAATGCCGTTGCCATGGCGACAGATCACTCGCCATCAAACACGATGTTTATGTTACTGCTGTAACTCCCATGTACATTGTCCGATCGGCCTGAAACTTCCCACGTTTGCCAACGACCGAGTCCTTATAACATCAGCGCAACGTCGACATGCGGAAAACAGCGAACCTACGCGGATGGTCGAAGACCCGCTCATCGCTGCTCGCAGCTTTAATTGTTTTTTAAATTTGTTTAATATATATTTATGTTGCATTGTTGAAGGAGCCTAGGAATTAAGATTGTCTTTGCCAAAATTATAAGTATCATCACTGAGCGATCAGAACTTGCGACAGGGGAAGCAAAACTAGACAACACACAACGTAGCTTTAGGTAGCAAAACACAGAGATATGCTCACCTCTTTCTGTTATTCTGATCAAAAGTCGTGTTCAATGGCATTAAAACGAGAAAAACGCGGCTGAAGGTTAATCCATAGGTTAATCCAATGTGTCTGTCACTTTGAAAAAATTATTGATAATCCATAATTCCATTTTTATGTAAAAATATTCATATTAGCTGATAATGATAGCTTCCAGAGTGTATGACAGCTTGCTGTTTTGGTTACGCGCCACTCTCACTCCTTATGTGGTAACATGTGTGTGTATGTGGAACCTCACCTCGATTTCCTTGGCTCTATCGGTTAAAAAGAGATGTCAATCATCAAAATCAACCAAGGGGGGCCAGAGATAGGTCAAATCCACCCAAATGACCCCAGAAGGGTTTTTTGTGTGCTAAATCTCTCTTAAAAAGGTCAAATTTCACTTGTTTTGCTTCAATCTTGATACAGGGTACTTATTATATGTTATTGTTTGGATTCCTAAAGCTTTTAGTCAACCATCCCATCATTCAAGGGTGGTTTTCACTATAAGTAATGTTTTATTTTTGGACAGACATAATAATTTACATTTTTTTACTGCGTTCAATCTGATTTTTCTTTAAAGTAAAAAAAAATCTATATTGATTCTGACTCTTCTACATCCAACTGTTACGACCCGCCCTCTACCAAAGGGTAGTGGCTCATGGGAAGACCCGCAACACAAAATAAATCACACCAAACACTCAGCACTTAACGGCGAGCATTTATTTTAGAGCACAGCCGTTACTTACATGGGCCAACCGGCAAATGAACAAGTTCTGGAGGACGTGCAAAAACAAACAAAAGGAAGAAGGGGGCCTGGGCCAGCCACACCACGAGCCGTAGGTCCCAGAGCTTCCCTCCTCTACTCAGAGATCTAACAAAAACCCTACGGGAAAAATAAAGCCGCGAAAACCTATACTACCTGGTCCTCCAGAGGACACATATGGACATAGTAACAAAAGGGATCTACGGATCAAAACAGCAGAGAGAGATTGTCCACGGACGGAGTCTTCCGGCATAAGGATAGGGAGAGACCCTCTTCCCCTCCAGCTTCTCCTTTTAAGTCCCCAGCTGAATGGAATTAGGACACCTGGGGGAGGCGGAGCCAGGGGCGGACCAGGTGTACCTGCGCAGCAGAGAGACAGAGAGGACAACAGAAAAGGGAGAACGTAACACCAACTCACAGGTTTATCATTGCTTTGAGAAGATTATTAATTTACCCCTTTTAGAAGTGAAGTTATGGTCATGATGTTTTTATTTTAAAGTCAATTCAGATTGAACATAGTGTAAAAATGTAAATTATAGTTTCCGTCCAAAAAAAACCCATTACTATAGTGAAAAACTACCCTTGAATGATGGGATAGTAGACTAAAAGCTTTAGGAATCCAAACTATAACATATAATAAGTACCCTGTATCAAGATTGATGCAAAACAAGTGAAATATGACCTTTTTAGAGATGTTTAGAAAAATAAAACCACCTCTGGGGTCATTTGGGTGTATTTGCCATATCTCTGGAACCCGTTGGTCGATTTTGGTGATTGACACCTCTTTTGAACCGTTAGACCAAATAGAATCTAGGGGAAGTTCCTAAATCAACCTAGACGTTACCATTCAGGAGTGAGAGTGATGCGCACGCAGTTTGTCCAAACCGAAAGCTATCTTACACTCTGAAAAAACTGAAAACTAGGCTTATTGCCATAAATATGATGATGGATTATCAGTAATCATTTCAAAGTGACACAGAGACATTGGATTAACCTTCAGCAGCGTTTTATGCGTTTCAATGCCATTGAACACAACTTTTGATCAGAAAACAGCAAAGGTAAGACGTATTTGCCGTTTTGGCTACGTAAAGTGAAGTTGTGTGTTGTCTTTGCTGGCTTTCGATGCCGCGAGTTTTGGTCGCACAGTGTTGATACTTATAACATTGGAATCTGTGGAATATCAGCTTTCAGGTGATATCTTGTTTGTGCAGATCCGTTGAAGTATATAATATTTCTACCGGGAGTTATGTGCGTTAGCACTCTTTCACTTAGTGCTAATTCAGAGGCTCGGCGTTAGACTTGTGTTTTGTTTTGGTAAAAATGGTTAATATCGTCAGGTAGCTGAGTTTCTTTTCGTTAAGTGGGTATGACACATTCATAGTTTGTTAAATGTTAAGAAGCCCTCAGACGCTGTTTCTTGCAAGATGTTGCCGGGGCTACCGGGTTTAAAAGGTTAAAAGGTCAGATAATAGTGAAGTTCAAAGTCGATGCAAATGTCTTGTTTTGTCAGTACAAAGCCCGAAGACATTTCAATACATTTCTTTTATATAATATAAAACAGGAAAAGCAGATAATCTCTATATTTGAGAACGTAGCAGGACACATAATCAGGGCTGTGCTCAAATAAGATTTGGCTGTCCTTCATGAAGTGACAGGAAGTCACACATGTTAGTGTGTAGAATGTTCTGCTTTAGTTACTTTGTTTTAGCCTGTAGCAGGATTCTCCTTTGTTGGTGATCTTTTCTCATCAGTGACCGCCTCTTCACACATTGTCCCTTACTTAACCGTTCCCTATAACTTTTAAAATGTTCAACATTAGCATTAGCAAGGGGCTTTAGTTAAAAACTATAACATTTAGCATGAATGTAACGCAGCATCATTACAATTCCTGTAATTAATGACTGCCTTAATGTGTTTCTTGTTTCAGTATTATCTGGAGATGTTCATCAGTCCCCCCACATTAAAGAGGAACAGGAGCAACTTGTCGCTGTGAAGAGCGAAGATGATGAAGAGAAAGCTGAGCCACAGCTTCATCAGAGACAAGAAGAAAACAGCAGCTCAGCCCCACAGATGGAGAAAGAGAGGTATAGAGAGGACTGCAGAGGATCAGAACCAACCAGAAGCTTAGATCCTGATGGCTTCTCACAGCCAGCTCATGATTACAACCCTGCAGATAAACAAGCTGACACTGTGACATTAACTCCGATCCGGGCAGGTGTATCCCTCAGTCCACCAGCTGTGGACGACAGGACTTCAGACTCTAGTGAGCCTGAGACTGACAACAGTGATGAAGACTGGCAGGAGCCAGGGAAACCTCAGCCAGATCTAAAAAAGATCAAGAATAATAGTGTTCCCAAGGGTAATAAAGAAGGTAACACTGGTAGGAAGTCTTTGAACTGCTCTAAATGTGGTAAAACAATTGAGTCCAAGGACTGTGTGTTGGCAAAAATTCCTCCATTCGTTTGCGCCGTTTGTGTTCCAAAACCGTCACAGGTTGCATGTTTTGTCACAAATAAGATAAGTGCCTCAGGGGAAAAAGCATTTGGATGTTCAGTCTGTAAGAAACAATTTGGCTTCAAATCAGACGCCGTAAGACATATGAGGATTCACACCGGAGAGAAACCCTTCAGCTGCTCAGTTTGCGGGAATAGATTCAGTCAAAGCACGGGTCTGAGCTCGCACATGAGAACCCACACAGGAGAGAAACCATACAGCTGCTCTCTCTGCCCTAAAAGCTTTATCCGCAGCGGAGTTCTGGACCGACACATGAGAGTTCACACCGGAGAGAAACCTTACAGCTGCTCGGTGTGCGACACACGTTTCTCTCTGAGTCAGACCCTGTTGAAACACATGAGGATCCACACAGGAGAGAAACCATTCAGCTGCTCCGTTTGTGATAAAAGATTCCTACAACAGGGACACCTGACACAACACATGACACTCCATACAGGGGAGAAGTCTTTCAGTTGCCGTGTTTGTGGAAAAAACTTCACTAGACAGTACCGCGTGAAAAAACATAAGTGTGTTACTGACAGCAGCGGCAGTCAGTGAAACTGCAAAACTGCAACACAAAACTGAATGTCATATGCCAAAGATAGATTAGAAGGTTCAGATAAGAGCAACATAAATCTATTTAAATATTCTTTAAAGAAAGAATTTGTAAATGCTTATATATTTATATTACTGCGTCCACTAATGTCCACTGATTACTGTTAATGACTGATGACAATCATTATTGATAATGTGCCTATACTTCATATTTATGCTGAAGTTGTACAGAGACTAGTTCTTTGTAGGATTTGTCCAGCCCCTCCTTAGAGGTGCGGTAGGTAAGTTTGAGAAACCGGCTCGAGATACACTTTTTGTTATATTCCATGGAATGTTCTTAACATCCCGATAGCAATGAATATCTTAAGTGCTTTGACAAAAAATCTATTAAAAAATGTAACCTGTGGAAGCCGTAATACTGTAAAAAGCACGACCAGTAACTGGATGGCCTACCTGCCTGTCAGCCTTCCATCTGTGCACAAACTTATCTCGTGCCCTCATTGGTCATGTGCGCGTTCGTGTGTGTTGGAGGAGGGGCTCTATAACGAAGTGGCAGATCTTTTCCGGTTGTGTATTTTCAAATTCTAGCGCACTCGAGCTAGTTTCTCCAAAATTACCTACCCCACCTTTAACTGTCATTCATTTTCTATAAAGCTTTGCATTTTTTCACTTGGCACACAAAAAAAATGGATTAGCGGCTCAGCGCTGGGTCACCTGCTAGCTTCTACAGGACCATTGCTCTCCTTTTTAAAAGTATCCTTAAGTGTACAGTGGTTTATTGCAGCATATGCCTGAGTTAGGCCTTAATGAATTGTTGACAGATCTGCTGTTTAAGTGGCCGTGACAGACCTCACTTTTACCTCACCTACCTCTATTAAGCTTACTGTACTGTTCTCGTTTTCAACGTGTGGATATTGAAACTTTAACAGCCAGCTAAACTCTCCTCAGCATCATTCCTCCAAGTAACAGGCAGGTGTTGTATTTGGCTAGGGATTTTAATGATAAGAAGTGTGAAACTGAACAAAATACATTCTCC